AAGTCCTCTCATTAATTCCTCCCACAAGCATTTATCAAAAATTTATATGCCAACCACAATGCTCTGAACCCTACAGTACAAGAGGGACTTCATGCCCAAGAGGGACTCGCTATTAGAACTGGCAGACAAGAACACAATAGGACTAGCGCACCAATAGAGGTGTGCTGTGCAGAGAAACACAGTCATCCTTCCCTAAGCGTCCCCTGAAGCTGCGATTTCCTAGAACTTCCTCATGTCCCCCAATAGGCTACTGACCACTGGAGACAGGATCTGGGCCCTACTCCCGCTGCAGAACACACCACAGAAACTCAGTGTTTGTTCCTGCAACAGAAAAACAAGACGACTCAAAAACAAACAAACAAACAAAATAAAAGTAGTGCTGGTACTTTATAGTTGGGTCATATACTACCAAACGGTATCTGTTAATTGTATAGCTAGCCAGACAACTGCACTGGGCCCAGGCTAAACCTGGGGAACCCCTTTAGCAGATGAATTTTGAGCATTCCTTTGGTGGCAGGATAAGCTAAGTCCAGGGTGACGTGAAGAAAGATGCTAACAGGTGACTATGCGGTAACACGGGCTCTGATTGGAGAAAATACGCACAGCAGGGCTCAGCCCCAGCCTCCAGCCTCCAGTGTCTGCTCAGAGGCTGTGGCTGACCTTCAGCAGCTCTGCCTGTATCCCAAGTAGTCTCTCCGTCACCAGGGGAGCCATCAACTTTACAGCAACAACAACAAAACTGGGTGCCCTAAACTGCTATCTATAGTCATTTATAAAAAGCAAGTGAATTCCTAAACTAGCAAGTAAATCCTTAAATACTGAGTATGTAATTAAGTCAAAATGTTTCAAATGAGAAGCTGTTACATTGTTTCTTTAAAACCTGTAACTCCTTTCCTATAACAAGTCAAGTTTAAAAGTTAAGGTGTATCCAGTTATTTTAGTAATTTGGTTTCATTTAATTGCTGCTTCCTCTCTTTCTCCACTGAAGTTTTTTATTCTTTTAAACTATATAAAATAGTCAATCATGTTACAGAAATGGACACAAAGCAAAGGAATCAGAAATTCAAGAACAAAGCCTCTCATAAAAAAATATGCTGTCAAATATCAGTTGTAAATTAGTAATCTAAAATGCTAATAAACTCAGTCAGGGCTATCAACGAATCATTTTATTGCTGTAATCAATCCTCCCAGACAGCAATAGAACACCCTAAACACACGTGCAGCTCTGGACTGGCATTGCCTTCGGCGGTTTCCAAGAGTGTTAGCAGGCTGCCTGGGATATGGAAAGCGACACCCTACAACGTAATTAATCACTTATCATTCCATCCTTCTGTGTATTAAATGATACTTGTGTCAACAGACTGCCCTAATACATGTGTATCAGGTGACAGTAAATTGCCCTTGATCTGACATAGGGGCTCCCCGAAACCTCCTGCTGGGGAACAGGTATGAACCTCAGAGGACC